CACGGTGAGATCCCCTACACGGTGAGATCATCCTACGCTGTGAGATCCCCCTACGCGGTGAGATCCCCTACACGGTGAGATCATCCTACGCTGTGAGATCCCCCTACGCGGTGAGATCCCCTACACGGTGAGATCATTCTACGCAGTGAGATCCCCTACACGGTGAAATCCCAGCAGTTCTCCAGAGAGGCCTGGCATACAGGACACTCCCAGTGGTGAGGCTCATGCTGTCCCCACGAAGACCTGCACCTTGTGCTCCGGCAGCTTCTGTCAGACCCCCCAGAGGGAGCAGGGGTCGCAGCACAGTGCCCCATGGCCGTCTCCTGATTCTCTGCCTGGACCCGAGGCCCAGGGCCTGGGACTGGCTGCTCCTCCAGGTGTAGCTTCCACATCAGTGGGGACTCGGCAACCCCCCCTCCGGATGTCAAGCAGGACCCACAGGGCGGGGCAGGAGCAGGTACTGCCTGCGTCGTCTTCACAGTGCGAGAAAGGACACATTCCTCCCCGGGGACTCGGTGCACGAGCCACAGTGATGGCACGGAGGCCACCCATGGGCCACCGTCACCGAGAGGACCTTGTGGGGCAGCTCCAGGGAAGGGCTCTCAGGGCAGGCCTGGCCAGGGTGTGTCTGGGGACAGGCAGGCACGTGGCTGAGTGACGGGCCCCCGTGTCTGGTCTCCTGCAGGACCGGGTGATGTACAGGAGTCGTCACAAGGACGACATTTGCCCAGTCAAGTACTCCTCTTGCCCCAGCATCCGGACGTCTGACCACCGCCCCGTGTACGGCCTGTTCCGCGTCAGAGTGAGGCCGGGGAGAGACAAGTCAGTGTCCTTCGCACCACCTGCTCTCGGGGTCCTGGCGGGCTCAGCGCCGGGGCGGGGGACATGCGTGCATTTGGGGTGTGTGTGGCCTATGTCATCGGATTCTGGCGGGGAAGACACGGGTGGGACAGGGTAGCCAGCAGCCCACACAGGGCCACGTGGGACAGTTTGAAGTAGCGGCCATGGTGGCTCGCTCAGAGGGCTGACCCTGCCGGAGCTGTGCCCGGGACCTCCCAGCGACGTGGGTCCTTTGGGGGTGGCAGATGGGGGGCAAGGGACAGGTCTCTGCAGTGCCCAGGCCAGGGGGGTGTTGTGGAGAAGTGGGACCTGAGCCCACAAGTGGACAGGGACAGCTCAGAGGGACAAGGGCCGCGGCAGTTCCCAGGGATGGGGTGTGTGCACATGCTGTGGGAGGATGTGCCCAGCGGGCGTCTGAGCCAGCGCCGGGCACTGCAGAGGAGGTGGACCTGATGGTCCTCTCCCCGCAGCATCCCGCTGGCCGCCGGCAAGTTCGACCGGGAACTGTACCTCATAGGGATCAAAAGGCGGATTTCAAAGGAAATTCAGAGACAGCAGGCGCTAAAGAACCAAAACTCCAGTGCCATCTGTACAGTGTCCTGAGCGAGGACTGGAACCCGGAGCAGGAGGCGCTGAGCCTTGTCACTGGAGAGACGAAGAGGCCTCAGCAGCGGTCCGCTGTGGGGTCCGCCGAGCCATCCTGCAGGCTGCCCCCTTCCCACTGAGGCGTTGACACGGAGCAGTGAAGATGGCAGGAGCCGTGGTGTGTCCGTGTCCCAGGAGGGAGGCTGTCCCTGACAACAGTTCACATTCCTGTAACTAAATAAGCCCCTACGTGCTTGTAATGCAGCAATCCCACTGACCCGTTGGACTTACCCTCTATGGGCAGGCTGAGCTTGGGGCCGACGTAGCAGCGTCCCACACTGGGCACCCGGGGGCACACGCTGATCCAGGGTCAGCCCTGCGCCACTAACCTGCTCTGAAGCCAGTGGTGGACAGCCCCCTCTGCGTTCCTGCTTGTCCCCATGCCTGGCACCAGCGTCTTCCAGCCCCTTGGAGTGCCTAGATGCACAGCCTCCAGCAGCCTCCCAGCACCGCCCTACAGCCACACCTGCCACCTCACGGCTACGGCCACGTCTACTCCCGGGACCCACAGGGTGGCAGGGTCAGAGGTGGGCGGCCCGTGAGGCCTCAGAATTCCTTGGGCTTTAGCACCTACCTGAGCTGAGTCAGCATCAGAGGCTGAAGCCAGTCAGCTTCCTAGGACATGACGGCCCCCTGCTAGGCAGTGAGCCTCCCATATTGGGACAAGCAGGAGCCCCATCATAAGCCCCCCGCCCCGCTGAACTTACAAACACCTTCCTCTTCTCTGCCGGGCCTGCCTGGTCCTGTGGGAACGCGCCATGGCTTGGGCGATGCAGACCACTGACCATAACGTCCGCCACAGAGCAACATTAACATTGGTAGCCCATTTCTTTGCCCAAGAAACTGAGGAGCTTGGAGTTGGTGGCCTTGTTAAGCCACCAGGTTCTGGAGTCTCCACTACAGAGGGTTAAAGTGTCCACGTGGTCTTAACCCCACCCCTTAAAAACAATGTCAGCATTGATGTGTTAAAAATCTAGCGGCGTTCAATCTAGTCTTTCAAATTATTTATTTTTCCATATTTATATTTTTAAATAAATGCATCTATTGAATCTTAACTTTTTCTGGCCACAGAGTGAGTCTCAGAAAGAAACCATCTGTGTGCACGCCTGATCTTACAATGTTCTCATTTTTAAAAGGCTGTAAAGGCCAACAATTCGTTTTCGCTACCAGCCTCCAACCACAATTTGATTTGATTCTGCGGCTTTACAGTCAGGTGTTCCCAAGCCAAATGACCCGGCAGTTAAGTGTGAGCTGGGAAACAGTCTTTTCTAGGAAGAACTAGTAAACCATTGTGAAATTAAGTCCATGTCCAGCATCAGCTTCCCGAGCATGGAACGCAGGTTTCCAGCACCTCACACCCAGCCCTCTGATGTGGCACCAGCGCGGGCAGCCATCCCCCTCACAAGAAGACGTGGTTGTTGGCATGATAAAACTGCCCCAGCGAAGGTCATACATCTTGATTCAATCGTGGAATATGTTACACAGATTTTGGTGGCCATGGGGCCTGAGCGGAGGAACAGGAGGCTGGCGTGACCCCGCAGCCCCCTCACAGACGCCCTGTGATGTGAGGTGCGGAGGGCAATGTCGGGGGGGGTCATTACATCCTGTGAATCACTTCCTGGGTCGGAGATTTCAGAGGGGAGGAATCCCACTTGGAAAGTTAAAATCCATGTTAATGCATATTGGCCAGCGCCCATGGAAAACAAGCTGCATGAAAAACCATGACGTGTGAGCACAGGGGCGGCCTTTACAAGATTCACTTTTTCTTGCCCACAGTCTGTCACCCATGGCGGGGAGGGGTTCTATCAGCAACGTCAAGGAGCCAGCTGAGCAGGAGCGCGGAAGGTGGCCCCGAGCGTTGCTGGCAAACGTGACGGCATTTGAGGCGGGGCAGGGTCGCCCTGTGATGAGCCGAGAAGGCCAAGGCCTGGCCGGGGTCTCCAAACGTGGAGACCAGGCAGATAAGGGACAGGGCAGCACCCGAGGTGGCAGTGAGGGCAGAAGCAGAAGCAGAAGCCTGAGATGAGGTCAGCAGGCCTGAGGGTTAGCACCGGCCTGAGCAGGGTGAGGGTCAGTGGGGGCTCTGAAAAGGGTAGTTTGGGTGGAAGGTGGGGTGAGAACCCGAGTGGCCGGAGCTCAAGAGAAAAACTGAAGAAAGTGTAAATTTGTGAGGGCAGGCGAGCTGGGCAGGAAGGGGTGAAGGGCTAGCGGTGTCTGCAGACGCCAAGAGTGCGTGGTCAGTGACTGACATGCTGACGCAGGATGGGATGTGCTCACAGGCCCCTCAGAACCGGGACCAGACACTCGGTGACAGTGACAGGCAGTCAGGCTCTGAGGAACAATTTTCATGTAAAAACAGACACAGCTGCAAAGAATGGTTGTGGGGGATGATTTTGTTTTTACACTTAGATGTTCTCCCCGCTCCCCATAAAAACCATGGCTGAGAACAGCACCGTCTGCAGCTCGGTGGAGGCCGTGATGTCTGACTGGCAGCGGTTTCTGGAATGTCAGTGCAGCTACAAGGTGGTTTAGGAAGCACGTCGACATTTGCCACGACCTTCTCTGAAGTGGAACCGCAGCCCCAAGGAGCTCACTCTCCCTCCTCCCAGCCTGCAGACCGAGGCCCATGCACCTGTGTGCCGACGAGCTGAACCAGGCATGGTGCCAGGTCTGGGGGGCACCCTCCTTCCAGGGCAGTCACAGCAGGCAAGGGGCTTTGGACCTGAAGACCCACGTGGCCCCACACTACGTCCCCCAGAGCCAAGCGGTGGACAGCGAAGAGCAGAGCCCTGGCTCCCGAGAGTCAAGCGGTGATGGGTGACGGGGAGCAGGGCCCGGTTTCCGAGAGCCGAGTGGCGATGCGCGATAGCAAACGCGTTCTGGTTTGCGAGCAGAGCCCCCAGTTGGCACCGTTTTTGAACTCAGGCGGCATCTACACCAAACCAGCACCCCGCGCGGGGCGGGGACGCTCTGCCGCCGGCAGGCCCGCCCCCTCGGGCTGCTACCGGAAAAGCCGGTACGCCCTCGGCAGTCGCCCATCGCGGCTCGACAGGGCCGCCTGGATGTGCTCGTACGTTGGCAGGTCACTCAGGTCGCCCAGGGCGGCCACGGCGGGCTTCCGGCGGAGCATCTTAGAAGCCACTCTCTTGATGTCCTCTGCCGTCACGTTGCCTGGCAGAGAGCAGAGAGAGATCAGGGAAGTCGCCTCCACGCCGTGGTCACCGGGGCCACACCACAGGAGAGCAGCGCTCCGTCCACGTGGGAGCACCCGCACCCCCAGCGTCCGGCAGGCCGAGCAGGAAGGCCCCCACCTCACTCACTGATGAGCGCACACAGCTCGTGGGGCAGCTTCCTGCACCGGGTCGCCAACACCTGCCTCCCAACGTCCTCGAAGATCACGGGCCGGGACTCCAGGTTCATCATGAGCATGGACATCAGCTGCGTCTTGGCTCGCTCCAGCTCCACCTGGGGGTTTCAGGGACCACGTTCACAGCTCGGTTCACAGCGGCTCCTCACAGCCGCCACAATGGACGCTAGAGGCATCCCTGAGGCCACCTGCAGACGCGTCCAGCTGGCAGTGACAGCAAAGTGTCCTGTGAGAGTGCGTCTCCTCACCCGACGCTGGAAGGGAGGCAAGGCCAGTGCCGGGGCTCCCAGGCCCAGCTGACACGAAGCCAGCAGCGTCCCCGCCTTCACACTTCCTGGGCGAGGCCTGGGGCCTTCACCAGGTACAACAGAGAAACGTTTACCATTTCAAATGTGAAATGCTGAACTCCCAAGCTCCACAATCACCAAGAAAAGCTAATCCCACTCAGCCCCTGGCACTCCACCCCTCGAGCTGCAGACCAGACATGACGTTTAAAACCTCACGGCCCCAGCAAATTCTCTCTCTGAAGCTCGCCCTGTAAGGGTCCAGAAGGGGACCCAGGGCAGCCAATCCTGACCGTCCAACGCAGTTTGACACGCTGCTACTGAGGTGCCAACTACTTATTAAAACAGGTCTTTTTTACTTCTTCCAACTTTAGGCAGAAAGTACTTCAAATCGATGCCAAATTGAGCTGCACGTTGATGCAGCGCTGTTTTTCCAGCAGGACACCAGTGGAACCAGAGTTCCAATTTGTAAACACGTTTTCATTTTCAAATATTTCTACTTTATCTGATTAAAAAAAAGGAACGTGTGATCATGCAGGAAAGAATGCAGAAAAAAAGATCTAAACGCAGAAGCACACAACCCAGCACCAAGAGGCACACGATTCAAGGTGGGGCTTGCTGCCTCCTGCTTTCTGCATCTGTGTGTGTGTGTGTACACGTGCAGTGGATGTAATTTCTCTGTGCCAGGTCTGGTGCAGGAAGGCATTCATCCACGTGGCTGCTGTGAACTGTGTCCCCAAAATGCGTGTCCACTTGGATGGCCATGGTTCCCAACAATGTATGGTTGTCCACCACCTTGTGATCTAACGTGTTATTCTACGTACTGGAGATCCTACCTCTATACTAACGAGGCAGGATTAGAGGCAGCTATGCTAATAAGGCAGGACTCAATCTACAGAATAACGTTGTATCTTGAGTCAGTCTCTTTTGAGATATACAAGAAAAAAGCGAGCACAGAGAACGACCTCATACCACCAAGCAAGAAGAGCCAGGATCAGAGCGCATCCTTTGGACCCGGGGTCCCTGCGCTGAGGAGCTCCTAGACCAGGGGAAAATTAAGGACAAGGACCTTCCCCCAGAGCTGACAGAGAGGAAAGCCTTCCCCTGGAGCTGGCCCCCTGAATTCAGACTTCTAGCCTTCTAGACTGTGAGAGGATAAATCTGTCAGTTGAAGCTGTCCACTCATGCTATTTCTGTGATAGCAGCACCGGGTGACGAACACAGCGCAGCTCACCGCCTCGTGCTGCCCATGTGTGCGTGCGGCGGGTGTCGTTTCTCTATCTGGACCAGATCTGGTCCAGGGAGGCGTCAAACAGTAAGAGATGAGGAAACAAGAGGCACCCAGATCCAGACATAAGACGGAGCTGGGAGCAGGCTGGCAAGGCTCAGGGCAGCGCTGCTCTGGGCCATGCCGTGCGGGCGGCGGTGTAATAGTTCAGCAAAGACGAGAGCAGAAGAATGAAGACAGAGATGGGTGCCCTGGGGCAGTGCAGTGCAGGGAGGAAAGTGGGGGCTCCCCAGGTGACAGGTCGGCCACGTGCTATGCTGCTGGTGACGTCTGGCACCCATCACTCCCCGGCCACGTCATCCTGGCTGTGACCTGGTGCTGGGGGCACAGTAGCTGGGGCCAGCGTGTCCCCTCAACACCGCTGCAGCAGCACCCGCACGGCCAGCACTGCACCGCGGCCCCCACCCGTCAGAGGCCGCAGGGGAGCACTGAGAACGGCCCCATGTGCTACTCACCACGTCCACAGCTCCACCCATTAAAATAAACTCCTTCGTGATGATTTCCACCATTTCACGAACCTGTGAGCAAGAATGTGTAGGTGAGAAACGCACCCCATGACCAAGAATGGCGTCTCGGCCCCAGGCAGCGAGAGCCGGGAGGCTTTCCTGAAGGAGCCAAGAGCAGTTTCCTGCTCTGAGACACGAGCTGCGTCTAGATCTGCGGCCCCAGTGCGACCCATGTGGCGTCTTCTGGGGTGACTAACAGACGCGCCTGTGGTGGAGGGTCAGACGGAGAGCCCGGGGAGCAGGCGGCAGCCCCACCCTCACCTGCCGAGGGTCTGCACTGGCGTGGATGCACAGGAGGCCCGTGTCCTCGTAGCTGTGGTGATAGGACGTGGCGTTGTACATCCAGTGGTGCCTGGAGGGAGGACAGGGTGCTGAGGCACGGCCACTTGCGGGGCAGCTGGCAGGCGGCACCACAGTCCAAAGACACCGTGCGGCCCGGTGACCAAGGACGGTCCTCAGCAGCCCCCAGCCCACCTGTTGAGCACATTGAGGTAGAGCCGGGTGAACATGCCCTTCCCGGGCCCGCCAGCTGAGAAGGAGCCGCCCCCGCCCATCATCATGTTCAGCACCGCAAAGGGGATGAAGTCTTCCTCCTACGGAAGATGTGCAGCAGGGCTCGGCGAGCGTCCAGCCGCCACGTGGGCGGGCCGCCATGGGACCCCGCGCCCGGCACTTACCAGAAAGGAGCAGCTCTCCAGGCCCACCATGACATGTGTGAGCTCCGGGATCGGGGTGGGGCCCAGGCTGGCGCTGGACATGTCTCGTTCCAGCTGTGACAAGAATGACAGGCACGCGCGGCCCCAGTGAGAGCAGCCAGGCTGTGCGCTCGGCCGACCAGAAGGCCTCACGGCTGCTCAGACGGGAACATACGCCAACGGTGGCAGGGCCCCACCGGGGTGGGCCATCCTAGCTCTGCACCGACACGGAGCTCACGCCCAGCTCACCCTGCAGCCTTCCCAAGAGGGAGCGCGCCCCGTACTGCTGTGCGACTGACCGCACGAGCGTGGGAACACTTGATACCTCAGAGCAACGCAAAGATGCACGGACGGAAGTCAGGAGAGGCGCTGCCAGCGCCACGCTCCCCCCAAGTTACCTTGACGATGCCCCCAGTGTACTGCGCCACCGATCTGTCGATGTCCACGGCCTTCTGGTCCCCCCAGGCCGGCCGGGTGCCCAGGAGGTGCTTCCGCGCGCTCTGGACCAGGTGCTCGTGCTCGACGCCCACCCCGGCCAGCACCATGCGGTCAGGCGTGTAGTAGTTCCGCAGGTAGGCGTGCAGGACCTGCCGGTCGATCTTCGTGATGTTTTCTGGGGGACAGAAGCGGTGCAGGCCCACTGTGTTTCCCCGGTAAGCAGCCTGAGGGAGAAGGGAAGTAATAACCACGAGTGAGTGCAGAGAACCTGGCCCCGTTTCCTCGCTGACAGTGGGGCCCACGGCACAGATCCTACAGGCCTGTCACCTTACCTATGGTCCCGCACTCACAACTTTGTGCGTATCAGTGGAAACTGTAAAAACCTACCTCTCCAGAATGAAATCTCTACGTAGCACAAATGTTCTGCACGTGACTATGAACCTAAAGGTTGGCGATTCAAACCCACCCAGTGGTGCTGCAGAAGAAAGCCCTGGCAATCTGCTTCCATAAAGACTGCAGTCAGGAAACCCCTATGGAGCATTTCTACTCTGTGACACGTGGGGTCAGCGTGGGTCGGAATCGACTCGACAGCAACTGACAACAGTGAGCCCCAGAACGAAAACCCACGAGAGTGAAACAGAAAGGTCACTTCATAGAGCGACAGAGATCCCGTTACTCCAATTTTCCAGACCTACGTAAACAACAAATTCAGAACTAAGCACATTCTGTAAATACCCATAACCTGTGAGAATGACATCGGGGGGCAAACAGCCCCTCACGTTACTGCCCATGGCTGGGGGGCCCTTTCTGAGTTCTCTGGCACTTCACGTGCTCCTACAGTTACGGCCCAAGCGGGGCGGGGGCGCGTCCGTGCCTCACCTCATGAATCATCTCGGTGAGCAGCGGCTCCGGGTCCGGCCTCATGTTGAGGTCCTCCAGCTCAAACTGCACAGCCAGCCGCGTCCTCTCTACCTCTTCATCTGTAAGACAGCCGGGGACACGGGCTCAGCCTGCACCTCCAGAGCCAGCGACAGCACTGATCCCGCGTCGCCGGGCCGGGGCTGAGCGCGGCCTGCCGGCCCTGACCGTGGCCGCTGGGTGTGAACACGGTGTGTACCTCCATCCCCAGAGCATCACACGCTCCAGGAACAGACCCGCAGGGAGCACCTGGGTGAGCGAGGGGGAGCGCCGGAGCCAGCAGGAACCCGGGGGAGTCGGACCCTCAGTCCTGGCTCCACCACGAAGTGGCCCATGCCCGGCCCGAGCCTCAGCGTCCGCATCTGCAAGGCACCGGCGGCACCTGAGCCACCCGTCCCGGCGCTGCTGTGCGGTTCTGACAGTGGCCTCGCGAGGCGCTCAACCAGCACAGCGCCAGACAAACGTCAGAGTGACGTCTCATCACCCGGCTGCGACAGCGAGTGCCCCAGAGGGCTGCGGAGCCCAGGCCAGGCCTCCAGGACCCAGTGAGCCCCAGACATCCCGCCACTGCAGGGCCAGGCTGGGCAGTGGACAAGTGGGAGCGTCAGCAGTGTGGCCATCAGGAACAGACTGGCGTCCCCAGGAGATCAGAGGACACAGAGGGCTCAGGGTGGAGAGCTCTCTAACACATAAAGGGCGTTGCCCACCATTGGAGGCGTTTCCAGTGGCATCACGCCGACCGTCGCTGCGGGGTTTTCACCGTTAGCAAACCCAGACCTCCAGCGACGTGACTGACTGCTCACGTGTGCAGCATTCCCACCCACCGTCCCTGATGCCACCCCCAGGCCTCGGCCACACCTGTCAGCCTGGGCTGCAGGACCACGTCCGCCAGCAAGCCCACCACAGTGTCCAAGCCCTTAGCATCAGCAGACACCGCGTACATGGTGGTGTCCCTAAAAGAGAAGAGACAGCGCGGCACTGAGCTCAGCCACGGCAGCCAGGCCCTCCTCCGGCCACACACCTGTGGGTGTTTCTCGTCGCCTTCTGTCAAGGAGCAGCCTGCAGCCCTACCGCGTGAGCCCCCAGCAGGCGGGAGCGCCGCCGGACACAGCGGAGAACCCGGGGAAGAGCAGTCCTGACGGAGGGCCTGGCACCAGCGCCTCTCAGAATGTGCACCGACTGACGGACACGCGGGTGCCGGCCTTGGGGGCGCAGGGCAGACGGCTCTCTCTGAAGGAGCGCGTTCCTCAGCCGCAGAGTGCTGACTCATAGCACACAACACTGGGTGACCAGAAGCTCACAGCTGAGCTGCTCAGGAAAGGCGCACCCACATCCTGACCACAGGACCATCTGGGACCGAGGATGGCCAGCACAAAGTCGCAAAGGACAGCACCGCCGACTTCACAGAGGGTCTGAGCGGGACGTGGTGCTGGGGAGGCGACCGCTGTGTGGGGGGCTGTGGGACCCCAAGGGTCTCGAGAACGGCAGGAATGGAGGCTTGCGCTGAGTCGGTGTCTGAGTCAGCACAGCAGGAAGCACTCCCTGGGGGAGAGGGGCCCCTGGGACCAGAACTGGAGGGCCGGACCCATGAGGTCAGGAGTCTAGACTTGACTCACCGGCAGCCAGGAGCCAGGGGTTTGGAACAGACCTTGTCTGCAGTGCGAATACATTGCCTCCATGCTAGCTTTAATTCTTAGCACCTGCACACAGAGACCAGTCTCTTCTCCCTCATCCCCCACCGCATCTGTGCTCCAGCTACACAGGGGCCCCTCGCTGCCGCAGCCAGACCCCCGCCTCTCCCGGCTCGGAGCCACTGCACCTGCTGTTCCCGCACCTGGACTGCCCCCTCCTCTTCCTGCCTGCAAGCCCCTTCAGGACCAGCTCCAACGTCACGTCTCCTGTTACCGCCTTCCCGAGCCCAGGGAGGGTCAGTGCGAGGCCTCGGGCTCCCGCCACCCTGGCGTTCATGATCTCCCCTGGGGTGCAGCCCTTGGCCCTATTTATGAGCATCTCGGGAGCAGGATCTGCTCGGTGTCCCCAGTGCCAGCTACAGTCGGCCGACCGCACGGGGAAGCAGCCCTCTGGGTGCCCACCCACTTCTGCTTGGCCCATCCAGGCCAGAGCTCGCTTCTTCGAGGGACTCTGAAAGGGGGAGCGAGGCAGTTTCACAGGGGTGCAAACAGGCCCTCCTGGAACAGCGGTTACCTTGATGTCTGGCAGTCACAGATACCCCCGTGCTTCTCCAAGGCAAGCAGAATTTCATCCTTGCTGCCAAATCGAGCAGTAGACTAGTAAAAATAAATAAGAAAACCTAAATGAGCTATTTAAAACAACCACTAAAAACACAGAACAATACAGGAAGAAAAAACTCATTGCCGTCAAGTCGATTCTGACTCATAGTGACCCTATGGGACAGAGTAGAACTGCCTCAGAGAGTTTCCAAGGAACAGCTGGTGGATTTGAACTGCCAACCTTTTGGTTAGCAGCCGAGCTCTTAACTACAGCGCCACGAGGGCTCCAAAATACAGGAAATACAGCTAAAACTCAGGAAATAAAACATTTACTTTTGCTTTCAAAATCCAACAAAAACAATTATCTTTTAATACAAAAGTGTTTTATGAACGTTAATTTAGCAACTCAATTATTCCCCGAATCATAACAATTCTAAAAAAGAAACCCGAAAGCCCCTTCTCAAGTACAGCCTCAAAACGACAAATTGGATGCTGACCGAAAACGCCAATTTTTCCAAAAAGTGAGCAATTCCACTAAGATATTTTGCTTCGTATCTTGATCCTGAATTAATAAGAACTACAAATAAAAAGAAAATTGACAGGTTAAATCAAATGTTCAAAAACAGAAGAATTCATCAAAAGAAACCTCTTTAAATCATGGCTATGACTTGATGAGCAAAGTTACTTGCACAGAGGTAATGGACAGATCATCTGGATTGTGACGATGGCTTCACAGAGGTACACGTGGCAACGTTTATTACACCGTACACTTTAAATGTGCACAGCTTACTGAATGCCACTCATACCTCAACAGAGCTCTTAGACAAGGGTTAGTGTTTACTTTATGTTTTCCAGTGATACGAATAGCAAATACGTTTGTGCTAGAATTGTATAAAGGCAGCAAAAGAGAAAAAACCCACCTTAAATGCCACCCCCAAAATGACCACTGTTCATATCCTGGTCACTAAGCTTTCAGGTTTTACCACGTTTCTGCTCAGAGTACAGTTCATAGTTGATAAGCCAACTACAACCGAGAGTCCACGGAGGCACATGCAGGTGAAAACAAGTGAGACCACTTGACACCTGCCGGCAATACTTACTTCCTACGGTGCAAAACTGCCCAAACTTATTTTGGGATGCTACGCGAAGCCCATTATCCAGTGTGGTGACTTTAGTTTCAAACTTTTCCTGTCCATCAACCGTAGCAAAAACAGGCTTGGGTACGCCAGGTAAGGGAGAAGAGAGGGGGATGTTGGGATAGGCACTGCCACTACTGAACGGCCTGTACGTGGGGGGTCCGGACCTGCAGCAGAGACAGTGGCCTGGTTACAATCTTCCAGCAACACCATGATGAGCACTCTACTTGATTCAGCTCCCTTCTGTCTGCACTGAAAGGCCAGGAGCTCCTTCTAAAGGACTGGTTTCTGCATCCCTCCCCCACCAGGTTCCCATGCAGCAGAGTGGTCAGGAGCACCCTCCCAGCACGATCCCAGCCCAGCCTGAAGCTGATGAAGCTCTACGGGTCTCACTTCCTTCTCTGTAAAACAGGGCTAACGAAGGCGATTCACCTGGAGGATTGTTGTGAGGGTTAACTGAGTCTGTTTGCCCCTATAAAGCACTTAGAACACCGCCACAGCCTCGCTGAGCGCTGGATGGAACTGGTCTGGAAGGCCCTTTGGGACCTGGCCTCAGCCTCCTTCTCCAAGTTCATTTCCTAGGCACCCCCCCCCCCTTCCATTCACATAGGCCTTCCGGTCAATTCCCAGACGGCAGAGATGCTCTGGGCTGCCTTGCTCCCCCTGTGCTCTTCACATGGTTGATCCTTCCCTCCTGCTTCATCTCGAAGCTTAATCGTTCTTTCTGGTTAGTCTCTCCTGTTATTTTCCATTACTGAACCCTGCTTACTTTCTTCACAACGCTTATAGCTTGCTGATATATATCCTATTGTCTGTACCCCTTTGCAGAGCACAGCTGTCTCCGTTTATCATTGTATCCCCGCATCTAGCACAGTGCTTGGCATACAGTAGGCGCTCAATACATATTTGTTGCCTGAGTGAACGTGCCAGTGTGGAAGCCAGGCCACTGGGCAGGAGGAGCGGTGCGAACGGGGAGTTCTTAGCGGTCAGATGCCAATCGGCGATGGCATACAGCGCAGGAGTCAAGGGCATAGACTCTGGTTTCAGACAGAAGCCTGGCTCTGCGGGTCTAGATGAGCTGAGGCCGCCGCTGGCTCGGCCTCACAGAGGGACACGCGGCGGTAAAGGGGCAGAGGCAGAAATGGCGCGACCTCGGACAAACCCCGTCGGCCCAAGAGGGGAAGGAGAGAGGGCACCCAGGAGCCGGGGAGAGGAGGGGCGGATGGGTCTCGGGGTCCGGGTTCGAGGCGCGAAGCAGGGGGGCGCTCCCGACACCTCGGGAAGTAAGCCGATGTCGCCAAGTCCAAGCCCGCCCAACCGGCGTCGACTCTGGGCGGGCAGAAATCCAAGACGAAGCCTCCGGAAAGACTCGAGCTGCGCCGGCCCCAGTCCGACCCCCCACTTGCCGCCGGCTCACCTCAGCCGCGAGCGGCCCCAAGACCCCGACCCTCGCAGCAGCCGCCTCACTGCCAACACCGTCGCCGCCATCTTGTTTCTCCGCCCACCGCTTCTGGCGTCATCTCCGCTTCCGCCTTCGGCGCCCCGCCCCCCCGGCGTCGGCCCTCGCGGCTCGGGCGCGCGCTTCCGGTGGTCGGAGCGGAAGCCGCGACGAGAGGCTCGGAGGAGCGGCGGCGGCGGCCGAGCGGCGGGCGATTGGGGCGGGCGAGCCGGGCCGCGGCCCGGACGGGGCCGAGACCATGGAGCCGCCGCTGCCGGGCTAGAGAGGTCCAGCCCCGCTGGGCCCGCGGGGATGGCGGGCTACGCGCGCCGCCCGGGCGTCACTCCGTTGTCCCGAGCCCGGAGCCTCGTCATTCCGGACGGTGAGCGGGGCTGGCGGAGGGCCGGGGGCCGGGAGGTCGGGGAGCGGCTGGGCCCGGGTTCGAGCCCCGGACCGCGCGTCCTCCCGTGCGGCGCGGCGCCCTCGTAGAGGTATGAGGAGCCCGCCCGCCGCTCGTGGCCGAGGGCCGGGTGAGCCTCGCCGAGCGCCCGCGCCGGCACCCGGTGAGTCGCTCTTATTGTTACTTTCAGCTCCAGCGTTCTATGAGCGCCGGTCTTGTCTCCCCCAGCTAGACTGTGAGCGCCCCCATGGCGGGGACCTGGACTCCCACTTCTTCGGCATTCGGCCGACGTTTATGTGTTATGTGCCCAGTCCGGTGCTAGCTTCCGTGGGAGACACAGGTGAGAGACGAGGGCGCCGGCCGCAGGGACCTCCCAGTTCCTGTAGGCACTGCCTGTAGGTTCCTCCGTTAATTCATCCGCTTGCTCGACAATGAGTACAGCACCCCTGGGTGCCGGGCACTGGAGACAGGTGGAGAGCGGCCACACGCGCTAGGAGCTCACAGTCTAGCCTTGGGGGGGCCAACCCAGACAGACAATGCCAACTCGGGATGGTGAGTGCTGGGGCAGGTGTGCTTGGCAGGGACACAGGTGGAGAGGTAGCCTTCGTCCCCGAGCCGGTGACGGGAGTTGGATGCTGTGTCCTGCCTCTGGACAGATGGAGGTCTTCCACATTGTGCTGGAGCACGCGCTGCCCCACCCCCGGGTACACAGAGTGTTTTGATGGGATTGAGAGACCCTGTTGCTATGAGTCGGAATCGACTTGAAGGCAGTTGGTTTGGTTTTTTGGTTTTGGTAGGTCCGTGAGGGGCCCTGGTGGCACAGTGGTTAAAGCTACGGCTGCTAACCAAAAGGTCATCAGTTCGAATCTACCAGCTGCTCCTTGGAATCTCTAGGGAGCAGTTCAACTCTGTCCTATAGGGTCACTGTGAGTCAAAATCGACTCGACGGCAACCGGTTTGGTTTGGTTTTTCGGGTAGCTCCCTGAAGGAGTCCAGGTGGTTCAGTGGTTAAGTGCTTGGCTGCTAACTGGAAAGTTGGCAATTCAAACCCACCAGCCCCTCCGTGGGAGAGAGATGTAGCCGGGTGCTTCTGTAAAGATTACAGCCTTGGAAACCCAGTGGGGCAGTTCTCTGTCCTGTAGGGTCACTGTGAGTCAGAATCCACTTGACGGCAGCAAGTTTATAGGTGGGTCTCTGAAGGAGCCCTGGTGGCACAGTGGTGAAAGCACATGGCTGCTAACCGAAAGGTCGGCAGTTGGAACCCACTAGTGGCTCTGTGGGAGAAAGACCTACTGATCTGCTTCCATAAAGGTTACAGTCTTGGAAACTCTCTGGGGCAGTTCTACTCTGTCCTATAGAGTTGCTATGAGTTGGAATCAACTCCACGGCAATGAGTTTTTACAGGTAGGTCCCTGGGTGGCAAATGGTTTACGCTTGACTAGTAAGCTTAAAGTTGATGGCACCACCATTGAAAACCCCGTGGAGCACGGTTCTCTGTAGCACACGGGGTCACTACGAGTTGGAATCAACTCAATGGTTTTGAGGCTAATGGCAGCACACAAGGACATTCAGGCGGTATCACAAGACAGACCCTGGCTGGAAGTGCAGACGTCAGGGCCCACTCGCTCCCATGGAAGTCAGTCTCCAGGGTCAGGGCCTGGGGCATCTGTTTGCACAAAGCCCTTCGGGCAGTGAGGACCACTGCAGTAGAGACTACACGTCAGAAAGACAAGCCAAGTGATGACGGTGGTTCCCGTGATCGCAGTGGGTGACGGTGTCTCTTTACAGATTTTGGCTGTGGAAAGGGGAGAGGCACTAAGGAAAGTCCACCGGGAGCCCACGAGACATGCTTCGGAGGTAGAGTAGCTCGGTGATCCTTCCTTTTTCTCTCTGTGCAGCCCACCGTGCTGGGCACCTGCGAGGGGTGGGGCTGTTGGTTTGGCGGGAGGTAAGTGGTGCCCCTGGAGCCGGGAGGAGCAGGTGGGGTGGTGTCCCCAGGACTGAGTCCTGACTCGGGTAGAGTGAAGGCTGCAAGGGCAGGAGGGCCCAAGGTGGAGGATGCAGGCCCCGGAGTCAAGTGGGGCGAGTCACCCTGAAGGGCGCGGGGGCTGGGGTCCACGGAGCTCAGGTTTTTTCTCCTGGTCCACAGGAGATGTTTATTGGACGTGACAGAACAATACAGCTAGTGTTAAACCCAACCACAGAGAACAAAAGGATTAAAAAATTTGTACAACACATACAGAAAAATAGGGTATCCGCTGTGACAACTATGCAGTCCAAAATAATGGTTCTAAAATTACTTGTTAAAACAGCATGAAAGCAGAAAGATATTAGTAGTGACAAAGTGCATAAAACCTTCAAGTTTTGAGCAAATTAATATGCTAGGCAATTTTTCTAGTAACGAATGATTTTTTATTTCTTGTTTACAGTCTGCTCAGAACATCTTTATACCAACAGGGTAGGCAGAAGGCTTGGGTTTAATATCGATCAGACAATGTTAGCGTAAGCTTCCACAACTAAAGGTAGGGTATTGTTTTCCTCTGAGCTGGCAAAGTGACTATAGTAACATTGGCTCTTTGTCTGAATTGAGAATTTTATTCGAATAAGGTCCACATGCCTTCCAGGTAGGTCCATATTTTTCTGTATCATGTAAATGGCTTGATCCATTTAAATAATAAACCGTACAGTGTGTGAGAGTTTTTATTATATGATAAACGATATGGTCCAGGTTTAGCAACTTCATAGGCTAAAAAAGTTTCTTAAAAAGTAGTTTTATGAATGCAGAGTATATCATAAGAGTAACTGCTGGTGTTTAAGAAGATGTGTCGTGCAATTGTAGGTACCATGTGCTGTTGGCAAAGCATTATTGTTTGTGTAAAGTGTGAAAACAACTGTGTAAAAGCCTTCTGCCCTGCGGTGACTGAGCACAGACCTTGGCACGTGGCAGGTGCTCAGTAACTCCCCAGGCACCGAGGGGCCGTGCGTGGCTGGTTTGGCCTGGGAGGGGGAGTCTCAGGCGCAGCTAGGCCAAAAAGGATGGGGGCCAGCCGTGCGTCCCAAACTTGGCACACCTGAGGGGCTTATAAAATCCCGGCTCTCAGGTGGCCCACACACCAGTGAACTCTGAAGGCCTTGCTTGCCCAGGGGAGGGAAGCAGGCAGGCAGGTGCTGGTATTTTGAACACCCCAGGTCTTGCAGCTCAGCGCGGGGCTGAGGGGCCTGAGAAGGGAAGGCGGGGGGTCTAGCACATGCAGGTGTTGCCATGTGTCGTCACGTTCCCGTCGGCCTGCCCCTTCCCTGGTGTCCCCAGGCTGTTGTGGGGTGAGGACAGTGGCTTCCCCGTCTCAGGTACGGCGTGTCCTGGAAAGCGACGTCAGTCGTAAAGTCAGCAGGATTTACACGTTTGTCCGGGTGTTGTTGCTGTTTCAGATGATAAAGTTGAGCTTGAAGAGGCAAATCCATTTTCCTTTAAAGAGTTTCTGAAAACCAAGAATCTCGGCCTGTCTAAAGAGGACACACCCAGCAGTAGGATTTACGCAAAGGTAACTCTGGCACACTTGAGGACCTAGAGGCTGGCCCTGCATTGGTTTCTGACACGTGGTGTCCGTGAGGAGTCTGGGCAGCACTGGGCAGAGCAGAGGGCAGTGCCAGTGGTGAGGTCAGTGGGGTGAGAGGGAAAGCTGTCTGGACCTTTCCACGCTCCTGTCCTTTTCTCATGCTCCAACATCAAGTGTAGAAAGAGGCACAGAGTTGCTACCCGTCGGCAGCTTGACACCTGCTTTCTCCCCAGGAGGCCCCGCGGCACTCCCTGGGACTCGAACATAGCCCCCCAAGCGCCCAGACCATGGGGTATGGCCTGGAGTACCCACAGCCGTTCTTCGAGGATCCGACGGGGGCTGGTGACCTCCTGGATGAGGACGAGGATGACGCGTGGACCGGGACCTACCTGCCATCTGCAGTGGAGCAGACTGAGTCCCTGAGGGCCGCCAGCACGTCACCCTGCAGCACGTATGTGTCCTTCTTCTCCGGCCCATCGGAGCTGGCGGGGCCGGAGTCTCTGCCCCCGTGGACTCTGAGCGACACGGACTCCCGAATTTCTCCGGCGTCTCCGGGGAGTAGTCCCAACCCAGACTTTGCTGCCCACGGGGAGTCCCTGGGAGACCGGCACCTTCGGACGCTGCAGATAAGTTACGAAGCAGTAAGTGGGCGGTGCCTTGCCACCGGGTGGGCCGTGCGTCCAAGCGGTTTCTCTGGCAGGAGCCTGGCGTGATCCTGCTTTCCCGGGGTCAAGCGTTTTGACTCAAGGACGAGACGGTTTGCTGCCAACAGCCTCTTACAGAATTTCCCCGTGACGCCTTCCCCTCACGTTCGCCTCCATGGCGCATGTGAGCGTGACCGACTGCCGCCTGTGACCCTCAGAACGGGGTCGGCTGGAGCCACCAGCTCAGGGACCCTTAAAGGGCTA